TTCCAAAATACTTTTAATTGGACACAACAGAATTAGTGAGATATACCCAAAGTTTGGGGGGGCGGGTAGAATTTACAACATTAAATACTTATATTGGGAAATGAGAAATGGGGCACTTGGGTGGCTCAGTTGGTTAAGAATCCGACTCTTGATTTCATCTCAGGTCATGCTCTCATGGTTCAGGAGTTCAAGTCCCACATGGGGCTCCATGCTGGCAGTGTGGAGCCTGCTTGGGATTCTCTCTCTCCCATTTTCTCTGCCCCTACCCTGCTTGCTCTCTCAAAATAAATAAACTTAAAAAAAAAAGAAAGAAAAGAAAAGAACAGAAAAGAAAGAAAAGAAAAGAAAAGAAAAGAAAAGAAAAGAAAAGAAAAGAAAAAAGAAAAGAAAAGAAGTGTCTTGAATCAATAGCCCAAACTTCCACCTTAGGAAACTAGAAAAAAGTCAGGGAGTATTGCTTGTATTCTATGTATTTTTTTATATTTAGAGGCTAAAATTACAGTCTAGCTACTAAATGTAGTACTGGTTACTACCTTTTTCCCCTTCTCGACATGAACTCACATTTGCTGCCACATTTTTTTGCTGTGCAATGAGTTCCTTGATCAGAAGCAATTTTGTGTGAAGCAGTAAACAAGATTACGGGAGGCAAACTCATATCCACAATGTGTCTATATATACACTACAGGAAATTGCCATTTGTTTTTTAAAAATAGCTTTTTATATTTTATTTATATAAAATAGCTTTTATATTGAGATATAATTCATATATCATAAAGTCTACCAGCTTAAATATAACTGGCTCTTTTTCACTTTAGCACAGTGTTTTTGAGGTATGTCCATGTTAAAACATGTATCAGTACCCCACTCTTTTTTAAGACTGAGTAATATTCCATTGTATGGATATACCACATTTACTTCTGCCATTATTCTCAGGTGATGGATACTTGGTTGTTTCCATTTTTTGACTATTATGAATAATGCTGCTAGGAACAAGTTTTTGTATGTGCACATATTTTCATTTTTCTTGTGTATATACCTAGGAGAATTGCTGAATCACGTGGTAACTCTGTTTTAAAATTTTAAGGGGTACTTCCAGGGGTACCTGGGTGGCTCAGTTGGTTAAGCATCTGACTTCGGCTCAGGTCATGATCTCACGGTTCATGGGTTTGAGCCCCATGTCAGTCTCTGTACCTCCTTCTCTCTCTCTCTGCCCCTCGCCTGCTCACGTTCTCTCAAAAGTAAATAAACATTAAAAAAAAATTTTAAGAACTTCCAGACTGTTTTCAAAAGTGGCTGCAATCATTTTATATTTCCATCAGCAATGTAAGAGGGTTCCAATTTCTCCACCTCCTCACTGATGCCCGTTATTGTCCTTTTTATTATAGTCCTTCTAGTGGGTGTGAAGCGGTGTGTCATTTCTTGTGTTCCTGTGTAATGTGGGCAACTTCATGAGATCATGTGAATAAGTTCCTATTTATTTTTTCTCTCTGAGCAGTTTGAAAGTCGTATTGTGCGTTCTATTCAATGTTTTGTGGTGTGACAGCGAGAGGTAAGGCAGGGAAAACTCAGCTTAAACTATCTTTGCTAAACTGGTCTCTTCATTGAGATTTGCTAAATGTTTTTTCTTCCCCTAGTTACTTAGTGCATTTCATGACCCATGGAGGTCATCTTGGGCTTTGGAGCCTTTCTCTGGTTCAGTGCAGAACCCTCAGATCCAGCAGAAAATCAGTCCTGGTTGTTCACAAGTTCCCCCCTCCATCTCTTTCCAGAAATCCTTTCCACTGCCCTCTCGCAGTAACCGGGGAAAGATAAGGATATTCCCCTTGCCCCCAATCAGTCTGTTCCTCTTGCGAATGGGTTCCTGAATTTTGCTGACTCACCAAGACCATTTGCATGAGTAGCCTGGCACTTGAGCAATGTACTTTTTCTTCTCTTACCAGTTTTTGACATTTTTGACATTTGGTTAGGTCTTTTTCCTTGTTTGCTGATGGGTTGTTTGTTTTTTGCAGGAAGGAAGTGCCGGTTTTTACTGTATTGTGTTTGTGACATCAGGCATTTGAAAGGGATGTGTTGTAACCCAGCTGCACTCCACCACTTTATGCAGTCTTAGCAATACTTTTAGGTATTTAAGCTTACTGCTGGAGATTCCCCATTATCCACTTTTTGAACAAACAGTTCCTGTGCACCTACTGTGTGCCAAGCAGGGATCTCTAAGTGGAGCTATTGCACAGAACCAGAGCCCTGCCATTGTGGAGCCTCTTAGTAAATTATGCCCAAGTGTCTCCACCAAAACATCCTTATTTTGCATAAAATTGTGTTTGTAGAAAACAATTTCAATTTTTGAAATCTAAAGATTTATACCAAATTCATCCAGGTTATAAAATTAACTCACATACCCCCTAACGTTCTGTGACCCTTCCAGCAAATATGGCATGGTCACAAAGGAAGCTTCAGAGCAGAAGTGAAGGAATCTGCCCTTCATTTTTAAGCACCTGATTGTTATATTTGTAAAGCTGCATCAGATACAGCTCGTGTTTCACTCGTTGCTTGTGGGATGGATTGAAATCATTTGCAAATTCCTTAGTTGATGATATGCCAAAAATAAAAGCGATTCTGGCAGAAAGTATTAAAGACTTGGGGCAAAGAGAAGACACTTTAAAATCTTGCAAGTATTAAGATCTTAAAAAAATCTTTTTATAAGCACCATGAACCAGAACTGTTCATCAGCAATTTGCAGAAACCAGATGAACACGGTGCTACAGCCAATATTTACTAAAAGCCAATTTCTGTGCATTATTACCTCCCTGCAGCCACCTCAACTGCAGTCCCTGTAACACCTCAAGTGTTTCAATACCTCTAACACACCCATGGCATTAACTCAGCAAATATATGAACCACTGTGCAAGACATTGTGCTCAGGACAATGGGGGAGATAGAAATAAATAACACAGCACCTGCCCAGGAGGAATTACTAAGGCGAGTGGGAGAGCCCGGACATAGCAAGGGAGAGATTCTTAAGACGAGGTAGCGACATATGGCATGCTGCAGTGATAAATTCTAGATTTCCAGAGAACCCTCAATAGAGGATGAGGACTGACAGGGTCTCCACCCATGTAAAGCTTCCTTAATAGTTCCTTGACAGAGCTCACAGCACACAGGACTACAGCCTGAAGGTCAGATCCAAATGACCTTTTTGCTGCTAGCAGAGGCCCATGGAATTTTCTAGAGATCACACCCACCCTCTGTGGTATCCTTTGAAAGTAATTTTATTAGTTTTTTTTTTTTATGGGCCACATGAGTTCATCATTCATAAATTTGTTTAAACTGTATTTGGAAATCTCATTTTCCTGCTAGTTGTGTATCTCAGAGGCCCTCAGCTCCACCGAATCCTGGGTAGGAGGCATCCCAGATTTACTTATATTTTTTAGGTCCCAAAGTATCCTCTTGTCAAGGTTTCTTAGGACTTTAGAACAATTTCATTTGTATGTCTCCTTTCGTGGATTCTGCAGCTTTCAGTTTTCATCTTTCAGACACTAGAACTTCCTAATTTAACTCAGGCCCCAAAGCCATAAAGATGGTCAATTGTCAAAGCAGCTGCTGCCTACTTTCTCCATGAGCATGGTGCACAGCCAGCCACTCCTGGTAGTTCCCTGGCTCCTCGTGTGGTCGCTCAACAGGGAAATGCCAGAGAGTCTCTTCCGCATAGAGCTACTCTGGAGGAGACTCGGGGAATTTTTTGTAATAGGACTAATATATTAGTCCCTCTTTTCTAAGTTTATCTATTTTTTGAGAGGGAGGGAGGGAGAGAGGGTGGGGAGGGAGGGAGAGACAGAGAGTGAGTGGGGAAGGGGCAGAGAGAGAGGGAGAGAGGATCCCAAGTAGGCTTTGTAGTGTCAGCGCACAGCCCAACTTGGGGCTTGAACTCATGAACTGTGAGATCATAACTTGAGCTGAAATCAAGAGTCCACACTTAACTGGGCCACCCGGGTGCCCCAGGGGAAATTTTTAATAGTTAGCAAAGGGGCTGTTTCCTTATAGGGACAGAACCTCTACTAAAGAAATACTGGCTCAATCAAGAGTCTCATATATCCATGACAGATAAGAAAGTGGGTTTCCCCAGAAAAGAAAGGTCCATGCAAACTGCGCTAATTCCATCTGGAAGCACTGCACCAAGCTCTGTGGTCCTAGGAAAGAAGTTGTTAACATCTGCTGTTTTTGGAAACATAATGGAAATGCGCCACCTAGTGACCACAGATGGAACCGCTACTTTTCAAAAAAAAAACCCAAAAACAAAAAACCCACCTTGGCTGAAGATTCTGAGCTTCCAAAGAAGCCCATTCTTAACTGGCAGGTTATCACACCAAAGTGATTCAATACCCCTGTATTTTATAGGTAAACTATAATTAATAATCTTGTGAAGAAAATGTTTTTTTTTTCCTCATGAGATTTATGGAGACATTCTGAAAAATATTTTATAGTTTCTAGATCAGATAGGCTGGTTATCTATCTTCTAGCTATTAACATAAATGTTTAAAAAGTAATACTCAGATACTCAAGTTTGAAAGGAAAAAATGCTAAGAATTTTTTAATGTTTCAAAGGAAACCTTGAATAAACTGCATTTGCAATAACTTTTTCTTTCCATTAAAGGGTCTACAAACAGATTTATAAAGACTCAAAAACACTTTTTAACACTTCCACTGTGTCAATAAACCAGCCAATTATGAATATATCTGTTGAAATGGAGTAAGGCTCTGGAAAAGAAATATTTTACCTCAACAACAGTTGTTATGATTACTTAAGATCGTATCTTAATACAGAAAACAGTTCTACATGCTTCTTAAAGTAACTTGTAATTATTTTAATTTTTTTGGTGCTCTTGCAAATACGTGACTAACAAAATTCAAACCACAGCAACTACACGTAAGAGTTCTGTGGTTTACTTCAAGCATCTGTATATAAAGAACCAAACTACATAGATAGACACTGCAAAACTTATAGGTGAAGTTTAGGTTAGACAACTTTATTAGCTAAAGAACAAAAACACGTTCCACTTTCTGCAATCACAGCTGAAAACGCTTTTCAAGGAGATCCAAGGATGTATGGACTTAAACAATCTGAAATTAAAGTCATAGATATTCAGTAGATTCTCAATCACTGCATTTGTTCTAGTTTAAGTCAGTTTAAATTTTTTCATAGAAAAAAACAGATTTCAGGCAAGTAAAAACAAATTCCAGATAAACATGGTTCGGTGTTTTTTTTTTTTTTATTATTATTTTACCTTTATCAAGGCAGGCAAAGTACAGATGCTGTACATTAAAAACATACAAATACATTACTCACAGCACATCAACTCCTACAGGCAAAGAGACTGGGAAGCACTGCTCCTCTGAAGCTCGGAGCCACAGCTAAATGTACAAGGAGCCATCTGCTGGTCCCACGTAGCCAACGCCAATCAGCAAGACGTCTATCAGCGTCCATATCCCCAGGCCGCCGAAGCTGAAGAGCTTGCCAAGGCCTTCCCGCCACTGACCCAGGTAGAAACGGTCAGCGCCAAACCCCCCGAGGGTGATGCTGCAAGAGCAAACAGGAAGGGGGTCCATCAGCCATACCCCCCAGGGTAGCTCAAAAATGGCACAGAGTCGCACTTGTAAAAGGGCCTCAAATGATCACAACCCCTGATAAGAACACAAACATACTACGTCAAATAATCATGGGCCAGAAGACTGTTTTAATGTCAAAAGGAGGGGAGCCTGGGTGGCTCAGTCGGTTAAACATCTGACAGCAGCTCACTAAGGTCATGATCTCGTGGTCCAGGAGTTCGAGCCCCACGTTGGGCTCTATGCTGACAGCTCAGGGCCTGAAGCCTGCTTTGGATTCTGTATCTCCCTCTCTCTCTGCCCCTCCCTGCTCGCGGGTGCACGTGCACTCTCTCTCTCAAAATAATAAACATTAAAAGAATTTTTAAAAAAGCCAGAAAGTAAAAAAATTTTTAGCTATACTGAATCTGAAGTTCATCTTCTGAAGAAAAGTAATCCGTCTCATTGCTTTTTCATCTAGAAAATGGCATATCCAGAACAAAGCAGGGAGCCAGTCCAACAGGAAGTACACGGACAGAGTCAGGAGGTGGTGTCGTCATGAAGCAGCCCAACACCTCCTGACTATCCCAGATCAAGTCGCCTGAGCTCTGTCACTCATCTCCAAGCAATGAGTGTCGAGAATAAGTGACTTTAAGGTTCCTCCAAATTCTAAGATCTAATGCTATTCAGACAACTTCTCGTTGTGCTTCTTTTAAATGTTTCATCATGGAAAATTTCAAGCCATGTAAGAGTAAGAAGAGAAGAGAGCAGTACCCATGACCCAGCTCCAACAATTCTCAGCATGTGGTCAACCCTGTTTCACCCGTACTCCCACCCCCCAACCCCCGCATTGGAGTACTTTGAGGTAAACCCTGGACATTCTCCCATGCAGGGAATATTGTGAAAGAAATGATGCTGAGCTCTGAGCAGAAAACTATTCTTACATTTTAAAAGTCAAGCTGTTAAATGTACCATGGTAATTTAAGATGTTAACAATCTTGGGGCAACCAGTTGAGAGGGGGACAGGAACAATCACTGTAACTTTTCTGGAAGTCTGAAGTCATTCCAAAATAAAACATTTACTTAAACAAAAAGTCAGTTGTCAGTTTTCATTTGAACCACTGCTGACAAAGACCCTGGCCAGTTAACAAATCTCGTTTTTGTTGTATCTAATTTTCTATTTTGGACGTTTACTTTCCAGCTGTGACTTCCTGCCAGGCAGGATCTGGTCTCTCCTCAGCCCAAACCCTAAAGCAGTGGTTCTCACAAAGCAAGGGGCTTTGCTAAGGGGCAACTTAGCAGTATCTAGAGACACAGGAGTGCTACTGGCATCTAGTAGGTGGAGTTCAGAGATGCTAACCACCCTACTGTGCACAGGACGGTGCCACAGCAAAGAATTATGTGGCCCGAAAGTCAACAGTGATGAGGGTCAGAAACCTAGCCCACATCACACAGGCCACAGGGTCTCAAGCTTTAATGTTAAACCTTCAACTGTAGGTGCCCCGACTTTTAATTAGTGAATTGTTTAACCAGCATCCCACCTGCCTTCCCACTGAGGGAAAGAATTGGTACAATTTTTTCCCCCCAAAGCTGTTGAAAGTTTCACAAATTCAAGCACATTTTAATGTTAAAATTGTAAGTCCGTGCTTATCTCTGGATGGTGGAATTACAGGTGATTTTTCGTGTTTTATTTGGTCATTTTCAATTTTTCCAGTTTTACTAAAAACCGAGTACTGGGTAGGTATCAGTTTTTATAATAAAGGAGGAAATTACTAAAAATTAACGCTACGAATCATAAACCTATCCATCTGAAATAGCACATAGCATTTTTGCTGAATCACAATACATTCAGGATGGGGAAACCATGACTGGTTCTAATTATCTATAATAATGATTCGGTAAGTCATCTCAAAAAGTATGCAGGCATCCTGGGAGAAAGGCTAACATCCTGCCATTAAATTCCATAAAGGGACTGGTCTGATCATCTCACTAACCCCGTGCAGCTTCATTTCCTAGGCCTAGCCAACAAATGTGAAAAGAATCTGAGTGAAGGAGGAACTCGGCTGAGTTCAATGTATGGAAGATTCCACTGATCCCAATGGAACCCAAATGGCACCCTCAACTTACCAGTAGCCACGCTTACCTCAGAGCCAGAGCAGTAGACCACTTATAACCTCCAGTCCAGTTGCAGTATAGCATTTTTGGAAAAGTACGGTTACCTTAAAAAAAGGGAAAATACTCTACATTAGAAACATGGGTAAACAAATACTCTTACACAGAGACTAATGGCCTTGTAATGTGAAACCTAAAAATCAACTCTTTATGGTAATTAAAGTTTGCCACGGTCAATGGTAGAAAGAAAGTCCTTACCATCTCTAAGCATACATTTAATATTTAATCAGAGAAGGAAGGATTACAGTTTGAAGTATGTGAAACGCCCTACCAGCTATCAAGGCTTCAGCGAAGTTTAGGGTCAGACAGTGTGGTACTGAAACAGACAAATCAAGCAATGGGAAAAGGAGAGAGCCCAGTGTCCCCGCCCCCTCCCCAACAGACACACACACACACACACACACACACACACACACACACACACACTCTTCCTGTGGGAGACAGGGCACACGCAGACTGGCCTAGACACTCGGAAGACAACTGGCTATCCACGTGGGGAGAAAAGTAAACCTGCATCTACTTCACACCACATTCCCAACACCAATTCCAGGTGGATTACAGACCTAATATGTGAAAGGCCAAACTTCCAACTTTCAAAAGAAAATATAGGAAAAAAAAGGGCTATGAAAGGCTAATAACTTCAACTAACTAAAATTTTCAAGTTCTACTAAAAAAAAAGTCAAGTCAAGTTCTATTCAAAAGACACACACACACACACACACACACACACACACACACACACACACAAAGTGGAAAACTAAAAATCTGGGAAAGGGTTTTAGGAACACCAAAAGGTTATTATCCAAAATATAAAAGAATTTCCAGAAATTTTTAAGAAAAAGACAAAACTTATGAACAGTAAGTACTGGAGAACACGTCGATTAAGAATAGTTATGTACCAGGGCATCCGGCTGGCTCAGTGGGCTAAGCATCTGAGTCTTGATTTCGGCTCAGGTCATGATCTCAAGGTTCATGGGTTCAAGCTGAGCCCCTGTCGGGCTCTGCGCTGACAGCACAGACTCTGCTTGGGATTCTCTCTCCCTCTCTCTCTGCCCCTCCTTTGCCCTCTCTCTCAAAATAAATACATAAACTTAAAAAAAAAAAAAAAAAGGAACAGTTATGTACCAATAGTGGGAATGTAAATTGTTAAAACCATTTTGGAAAACAGTACATGCTAGAGAGTATATGCTACACAAACTTGTGCACACCTGCAACCAGGAGAGGATACGTACAAACACTTTAAAAGCACCACAATCTGTGAGAGCAAAAAACTGTAAATAATCCAAATACACAGGAGAATGGATAAACTATGATACAATTTCACAGTGGATATTATACAGAAGAAAATAAATAGATAAAACACATGGATGAATCTTAGAGACATGATGTTGAGAGGAAAAAAGAAAGTACAAGAAGATCATAAACAGACTATTATTTTATAAAAGTCTAAAACATGCATCATTGAATAATATATCACACTATATTTTGTTATATACAAGTGACAGAACTATACAAAATGTAAAGCAAAGGAAGTGGGATGATGATGAAAAGAAAATTCACCAGGGCAGTCACCTCTTGAGAGAAGGTAGGGCACTGGGTGCAGGAAAAGCACTCAGGTAGTTTCAGTGGCATCAGACTGTTTTAGTTGTTAATTTGGGTGAAATGCTATTACTATACATCAGGCTTTATACCTTACGCATTTTTTTCTTGTTTGTTCAAATATTACATTTTAAAAGATAAGAGAATTACAAGTTTTCTAGGTTTTTTTTAGTTCATTGAGTTTATTTTTTTATTTTTCAGTTGACATATGATGCTGTATCAGTAATTCAACAACGATCTGTTAAGCTGTTCTCACCACAAGCGTAGCTACCGTCTGTCGCCACTAAGTTTATTAGTGAGGCTTGGCGTAACTAATAAATGTTTCTGATTAGACAACTGAATTGTCTAATTGCTAATTAAAGTTCCACATGCAAGCTTAAAGGAAAGTTTTCTGCTCACGAACTTCGCTGAACCCCACTTACCCAAGCAGTGAATGTGGTCCCGCACCGTGCAGTTGGCAGTGTAGCGTTGCCGAGGACAGGACACGGTCATGCAGCTGGTGGAGTTGGAACACTCATAATCGGTTTCTGGAAGCTGCCAGCAAAACCTGCAAGTCATGTTGATGACGAAGTTCTTTTGGGATTTGAAGTCTTGATCCTAGATGCCCAAGGACGTAGAATGAATCAATCATCATATAGCAGTTAATATGCCAATAAAAATACAAGGCACAAAGCTTCTAAAAGACTTCTCCTCCTGGTAGAAAGTGCAGAAAAATAGGTACAAACCAATATGTGTGCAAAACAAATGTATATGGTATGATCCTATAGTCATGAAAATATACACCCCAAAATATATACCTAAGGGGGAAAAAAAATCTACATAAAGTTACATCAAAATAACAACAGTCATTCCAGGATGGTAAGATTATTTTACCACTTTCACTTGTATAATTTTTCATAATGAGCATGTGTACTTTTGTAATACAACAAAAAGGGGGGTGTATTTTATCAAGCCAGAGTCACAGAGAGCTGGAAGGATGGATGAGTACATCTGTTCAAGGTCACTGAGCTGCAAGTGATGTGTAGAACCCATGTTCCCCAACTCCAGTCCGATGCTCCCAGGAGTACAACACAGATGGGCTACCAAGTCTCAAATCAAGTCTCAAATCTCCACTATGGCCCAGTATCACAGGGCTGTTACCACTGCTCACATCTCTACTGGGTAAGCACTCAACTCAGAACCACACTCAACAAAGGTTCACTGTTGGTGCTAAGCTTTTAAGACCAGAGGGTTTTTCACTTTGATTTTAAAAAAATCATTATTTTGTTTTCTGCTTGTAAGAGTAGGACATGCACTATGTGTGTTGCACATTTGGAACTTACAAGAAAAAACCTGTAACCTCCCCAGAGTGAACCACTTTCAATCTTTCCTTATTTCTTCTGGTAATATAGATTTATGTAAGTGCAATTATACTGAAATCATTTCGTATCCTTTTCCCCCCACTTGACATTACACTGCAATATATAATTTCCAAAATCATTTTTAAATGGTCAATCACCTCTGGAGGTATCAATTTATTAACTTTTTTCATCAACGCAAAACTGCTTTTGTGAATAGCATCCAAAACTGGGTAAGGCACCACTTGACTTAGGCAATGTTGTTTTATGTATCTAGTGATACAGTGATAACACATGCTTATCAACTGTTATTTATATTTATTTATTTTTAATGCTATTTTTGACAGAGAGTGAGCAGGGGAGGGGCAGAGAGAGAGGGAGCCCACAGAATCCAAAGCAGGCTCTAGCCTCTGGACTGTCAGCACAGAGCCTGATGTGGGGCTCGAATTCTCGAACCCCGAGACCATGATCTGAACCAAAGTCAGACGCCTAACTAACTGAGCCACCCAGGTGCCCCTTGTTATCACTTGTTTTTTAAAAACTAGACAATACATGGGGGTGCTTGGGTGGCTCAGTTGGTTAGGCGTCTGACTTCAGCTCAGGTCATGATCTCACAGTTCGTGAGTTTAAGCCCCGCGTTGGCCTCTGTGCTGATAGCTCGGAGCCTGGAGCCTGCTTCAGATTCTGTGTCTCCCTCTCTCTTTGTTCCTCCCCCACTCACGCTCTCTCTCTCTCAAAAATAAATAAAGATTAAAAAAAGAATTAAAAAAAATCCCAACAACTAGGCAATACATGTGGTACAAACTCCCAGACAGGACAGGAGCGAGGAGGAAGCTGGTCCAGCCCAGCCATCAGCAGCCACTGCCCTCTCCAGCAGCAAGTGCTGCTTAGCCTCTGGCCTTCCAAGGAATCTATTCTACGCATGAGCATGTTTATGTCACATATATTTCTTTATTTTTTAAATTTAAGTTTCCACTGATATTTACTTTTCACTTAATTCTGTAGCTATCAGTAAATAGCTCAAGATCTGCTTCATTCTTTTTAGCAGCTGCTATTTATTTCATTTCATAATGAGTCATAAACCGTTCTCTCTTGGACATTTAGCTTGTTTTAAATCTTCCGTCTAGGTGAACAATGCAGCTAAGAATATCCTCAGGCATATTTATTTGTAACCACGTACAGTATCTGTGAGATAAATTTCTAGATAGGGAACTGCGGTCACAAGTTCTATATATCTGTATGTTTCATACATATGACAAGTGCCTACATAAGAGGCTGGCCATCTGCCTACCCACTAACAAGATAGGAGTGTCCCTGGCATCCTCACGAACTCACACTGTTGCTAAGATTTATTACTTTCTTGCCAACCTGGTAAGTTTAAAAACACATGCATTTTTATTGCTTTAATTACAAGGAAAATTAAATAGTTTTTTTCGTGTGTTGAAAGCCCATTTACCTTTCCTTTCCTATGAACCATCTACTTATGTCCTAATACCATTTTTCTATAGGACTGTCATCTCTTTCTCATTTGCTTTTAGGAAATCTTTTTTTTTTTTTATGTTTATTTTGAGAGAGAGAGCATGTAGGGGAGGAGCAGAGAGAGAGAGAGAGAGAGAGAGAGAGAGGGAGGAGAGAGGATCCCAAGCAGGCTCCACACTGTCAGCACTGAGCCCTGATGCAGGGCTCGAACTCAAGAAACTGAGATCATGACCTAAACTGAAATCAAGAGTCAGAAGCTTAACCAACTTGAGCCATCCAGGCGTCCCTGGAAATGTTTAATGCGTTATTTGTCACCCATGTTAGAAATGGTTTTTTTACTCAGTTTGTCATTGATCTTTTGCCTTTATGCTTTTTTTTTTTAATTATTTTTTTTTTCAACGTTTATTTATTTTTGGGACAGAGAAAGACAGAGCATGAACGGGGGAGGGGCAGAGAGAGAGGGAGACACAGAATCGGAAACAGGCTCCAGGCTCTGAGCCATCAGCCCAGAGCCTGACGCGGGGCTCGAACTCACGGACCGCGAGATGGTGACCTGGCTGAAGTAGGACGCTTAACCGACTGCGCCACCCAGGTGCCCCGCCTTTATGCTTTTTTAGGTCATTTTTAGTAGTCTAATGTATCAATTTGTTCTTTTACGGCTTCTAAATTTTACTTCATACTTAGGAAACTATTCCTTTTGAGATGATAACAAAACAATCTCAAGCTTTCTCTGCTACCTCATGGTTTCCTTTCATCACCTTAAATCCCTGATCTTTCTGAAGTTTATTTTTAACAAAATAGGGATTCCACTTTTTTCCACACAGTGACCCAGGCATCCCAGCACCCACTGCACCTGCCTGCTCCTCAGGAAAGAACGGACCCCTTCAAAAGCTGATCTATAGGAAAAGTTATCTGTTACCTTTCCCTCTGTGAAACAGCTGTCATTACTAAGAATCCAGAACCCATCAGAAGGAATTATACTGCTTCAGATACACTGGCAGACTGATCACTTCTCCAAGTGATACAAAACTGCATTTCTGACAAGCACATTTCCAGCTGACCTCAACTGGCTTGACGGTTGCCATTACAACTGGAACAGGAGGGGTTGGCAGGAGTTGCTGGATTTTTACATTCATTTCTATAAAAGAATCCAGATGAGATTCCCTTAGCCTGGGAGTCCCTAGTCAGTATGCATGGAGAAGGACTCGAAGAGTTAATTTTTTTTTCCATTAAATTCAAAATAAGAGGGGGCAGGAGGCACCTGAGTGCACGCACATACCAGTGAGAGAAAACAAGGATTTGCAGGTGAAGGTCGTGGATTATTTCTTTCTGAAACAGTAACTCGGTTACCAAGAAGGGACCCTACATATCTTCATTAACAAACAAGTTAAAAACACATGACTTGTCATGGACAGCCTGGCGACAGCAGTCCTAAGACTCATGTCTCCAGGTAGTCAATTCGTGTATTTTACCACTCTCTAGTTTTCAGAACAGACCAAAAAACTCCCTTGGCGGCAGACTTCAAATTCTACACCTGACAACCAGGCAGCTGCAATTTTATAGGACTCACTATTATTGGCTAATAGAGGAGGCAGATGATGTGAACTCCCCTGGAGAAGAAAAGAAAAAAAATCCCACCCAGCCCTGGTGAGGGCTGTACCAGGCACCATGACCAAGGAGTTCCGAAACTTCCCTAAGCTTTATAATTTCTCTACCTTTGTTATTTTTTGTTATCTGCTGCCATTTTCTACTAAATGAAACCTTTTGTTTTTGGAACATCTAAAGAAGAAAGAAATTGAGAAGTATGTCTTACTCTGTAACCAGTTTTCGGAGATGAAAGTCAAAGCAGCTGAGGCAAACAACAAAGGAGGCTAATTCTGGACAAGTTCCCCTTCTTCAGAGTCTTTCCATTTTTCAGTAAGTAGCTACTATCTGTCAGACCCATGAGACATAAATTTTTTTGTACTTTTTATATTTGATTAGAGTTGTCACACAATGTTACATTAGTGTCCGGTGGAGATAAAAATCTTTAAAGCCTTCAAATAAAGAAGTTTAGCCAGACTGCATTTAAGACACAGTAACAAAGACTAATAATTCAAGGGCAGTCATCAAGACTATCTGACTCAATTTTCAAGTGTGCTGATACAGTATACAAAATGGTAACGTGTTTATAAAAAAACAAATTCAGACAACGACAGCGTAAAATCTCATTTCCCCTATGAAGTGAAGCCTTCCTCACTCCCTTTCTGATACTAGACTTCATCAGCAAAATTACAGAAAGAGTCTAGGGGTGGAAGGAACTTTCCAATCTAGCCCTCCACAGATTAAGTTCCAAACAATGGAGTGGGAAGGAACCCTGCTCAAGCAACAAAAATGCTACAACTGCCAGGTCAAAAGAGATCTGCAAAAGAGGACATAGTATGGAATCCGTTCCTTCCTTCTCAACAAGTTACCAAAAACAGGGTTCCATGGACACATGTTAGAAAAAGCTGTTCTGGGCCCATCCGCTCATTCATCTTATTTAACAAGAAACAGATTAATAAATACTGCAGCGAGTTACGGCAGGGTCAAGAGTAAAACACTACTTCATTATTCGTTTTTAGTCTTCATCTCACCCAGACACGAGGACTGTCGCCCCAAACAAGGGAGTGTGCAATAATTTACCTGGTCCAGTTGTTAAAACTGCAGACACCAGAGTCTCCCTAACCTACTCACATTCAGCGGGTCTGGGGCTGTCTCCAGGAATGATTGTAACAGCAGCCGAAGTCAGGTAGCTCGGAAGCAGGTACCCCTAGAGAACTCTACGGAACACCAACTAGGAGAGCCTTTCTAGGCTCCTTCCTCTCTCTGTCAAAATGTCAGGAGACAGGATATAGGTGTGATGACTGTAACAGGGTCATTTCTAATAGGCCTTTTCTATTTCTGGCTTTCTCTAAGAAGTCTGATAACTGCTCCAATTTAATCTGTCAAAAAATTCCCGTCTGGGGGCGCCTGGGTGGCTCAGTCGGTTAAGCATCCGACTTCAGCTCAGGTCATGATCTCGCGGTTCATGAGTTTGAGCCCCACATCGGGCTCTGTGCTGACAGCTTGGAGCCTGGCGCCTGCTTCGGATTCTGTGTCTCCCTCTCTCTCTCTGCCCCTCCCCCACTCATGTTTGGTTTCTGTCAAAAATAAATAAATAAATATTTAAAAAAATTTGTTTTTAATTGCCATCTGAACCCTGGCAACCAAACCTTCCGTGGCAATGAAAGATTCAGTCTTCTGATCAAGTTGTCTTTGTTCCTAAAATATTACTTGTAGAATGCAGAGCACCTTCTTTCAGGATTTCCCCTACAGTCACGTCTACACTATACTTATAACTTGAGGTTTACAATGAGTTCATTTAAAAGAATTAAGTTGCAGTACTTACAACACAGGTAACAGAAGGTTTGACTGTGCAGTCAAAAGTGACAGGCTTCCCATAGACACAGGAGTAATTTGTCCTGCATTCTACACAGTCTGCAGGAAGTCTGCTACACAAACCATTACTTGGACACTTCATCACATAAGGTGGGATATCAGTACTTTCTGTGAAAAGTAAGAGAGAAGCTCATTTTCATATAATATTGATCAGAATCCCAGGAGAATACAGTTTCCTAAGGTTAAGGGACATGGTTGCTAGCAATGAACTACTGGGCTGGAATGGAAAATGCACGGAGTTGGGAGTCGGAGACACCTGCAGTTCAAGCAAGGTTCTGCCAACCAAGCTGTGTGACCTGATGCAACAACAGTTCAACAGCTAAGTAAAAAGGATTTAATTACTGCCCCCGCAAATGGGCATGAAAAGCAAAGGTGCTTATGAACATATAATGTATACACAAAGCTAGGTGTAAGTTAGGGCCTCAGAAAAATCTACTCTAACAAGATGAACAATGAAAAGTTTAGCAATGGCAAAGTTTGTTCAAGATCACAGAGGGAGTGACAAAACTGGAACAACCCAAACCCGTTTCTAATCCAATATTCTTTTCACCTGAATTCACGAATTTGGTAATTACGCCACTGACCCTTTAAGCGAATCAATCAGTACAATAACGGTACCAACTTTGGAAAATGTTCTCTGTCGTTATTCCACATTGGTACTTCAATAAGCCATGATTTGCAGGTAATAAGGAAATTTAAGTTTCAGATTACAAAGCTGAACATAGCCCTCTATATTAGTAACTGGTTCACTGGGTTGCAATTTTTCCCCCAGCCAGCCTTGCTGGGAGTAAAATATATTTCTCAATTAAGAGAGGATCAAATTGCAAGTATTCTTGGGGAGGAAGAGAGGCTTTCAAAAACATCCAAAAGAATAAAAAAAATTTTGTGCTCTATAATTTTAGATTCAAGAATGGTGCTGTCTTGTCGTGATCTTTACATCCATATAAGAATCAGTAAAACACCTCTGCCAGTTTCATTGAAATAATGGAACTGTAAAGGGATGACCTATAGAGACAAAGGTTCTGTTAAGCAAAACACACTAATACTCATTTAAAACTGGTCCCACTTAAAGTCACTGAATTATGTGGGCAATTCTACAAATATCATTTTTCTTTTCTTTTATTCGATTATTTTTGGGGCTGGGAATTGGAAACTTAGAAATCACAAAGCCCAAAAGACTTTAGAGGGCCAGGCTAACCTCACCACCCTAAAGACAAGGAAAGTGAATACTGAAGGGTAAGTAATTTGCTCAAACTTCCAGTAGTTCAACCAAGCAGACTGAGACTCCAAGTCTTAGTCCCTCTCATCCTTCCATTTCACACAGCCTTGGGAGGAACCTTTAATATCCAACATCAGGAACGGGGTATAAGAAGAAAAAGAAATTTTCTGAAGGGAAAGAAGCATTGGTTGAAGGTGATCTTGATGAACGAGGTGGCAAAATAATAGAGAGATAGAAATGAAGAATGTGGAATTGGAAAAAGATGTGGCTGGAATGTCAAAAGGAATTGCAACATCAAGACAGTCAACAGAATACATCTGGGTAGCTGTCTTTAGTTCACATAACCTAAAATACAATAGAGTTCAAAAAAATGGAAAGTGATTTTTATCTTAAAAAGAAGAAGAAATAAACCACTAGATATAAATACACACATTTACTAGAATAGAAAATATCTAGTACCTGCTGCCCTGGGAACTACTGTGAAAGTACGTGTTGGGCCCGGATCCTTTATTGACTGAGCCAGCGGCTGCGACTGCTCTAAATTTAAGGATCCTACAATTAGAGAAACATGTTATCCTGGGATATGAAAACCTTGGTTTGTGTGCTTAAGACGCAAGGTCCACACCAGGCCCGTAACTGCTTAGAAAAACTCACAGCTTGACGATCCAGAAAACTAAACAAAGAAATGCCAAATAGGGTCGACACCTATTTAGATCAATAGGCAACTAGGGAACAAAGCGTTGGTGTCGGGCTCCAGGTCCGCTTCCCCGGCCAACACCCGAGCCCTGGGTCTCCTGCTCGAGGGCTCCCTGGCCCAGCTCGGCGCCTCCGGGGTCCCGGGGCGGAGTGGGCGGCCAGGACCCGCCAGACGGAGCTACAGCGATCAGCCTCCGCCCTTCGCCCTCCGCCCACGGGCCTAGCGCGGACACCTCCCGCCGCCCCCGGGGTACCATTCAGCCGGACCCCGCGTGGACCCCGGCCTTTAACTCACCCCCGCCCGACAAGATGTAGAACTGGGAGAGGAACAACAGCACGCGGCAGAGGCGGAGCAGGACCCCCAGCGGGACGCCCGCCGCCACCATCTCGCCGGTGCGTGCGCACTTCCGGGCCACGAGGCGGGACTGGGCAGAGGGGCGGGGCGCCGGCGCGCGCGCCGTAGGGGCGTGTGCGAGCGCGGCCTCGGAGAGCCCAAGGCGCAGGCGCGCGGCGGGCGTTGCGTGGGTTCGGCTGGGCCCGGCAGCTGGCGTCTGGCTGGTGCGCGCGGACTTCCGTGTCCCGAGGCGGACTGGGCAGAGGGTTCCCGGGGCTGGGGTGGAGGTGGGGTAAGGTCGCGACGCCTAGAGGTTGTTTGCTTCCCTAGTGTCCCCCATGCCCGCTGGACGAGGCGCTCGCTTCGCCTTCCTTGGCTAGCGACTGGCGAACGTCACCCGGGACCGAAATTCACTGCAATCAGAGGCGGGCAAATTTGGGAAGTTGGCCACCATTTATATGGGCTGGCTGTGAGGTTGAAAACTGCTTTGTGCTCGGTACTCTGCGAAGGTTTTGATGATGTGTTTGATTTCATACTTAAAAGGTACTTATTGACAGATGAAGAAACTGTGGCACAAACCCAGTTGGGGAAGTGACCCCCAGGGTGTGGCAGGCAGCCCCAAAAGGACCCCCATTCCCTGTGTTGCCGACCTGATCAGTGCCCAGCTAGCATCTCTCTCTGGTCAGCTGTTGGTTTCATCACTAGCCAACTCCTTAAAGACATACATTACTTCCAGAAAGTTCCTCAGAGCCTGGGAGAGGACAGTAAGTATACCTGTCAAGTATTCAGGTCCAGAAGCACTGGGACAAGAACCCTGGGATGTGAAAGGAGGGTCCAAAGCATGAGCCCCTCCCTGGTGAAGGCCAGCCTTGGGGAGGGGAGCTGAACCCCAGGACTCTGGCTCCCTGCGTGCTCATAAGGCAGACTGTACCTATTTTTGTCACACTATTCTTTGTCCTGTGTTGCTGACCTGCGTTCCCCTTTTCCACCCACCTGGCCCGAAATTCTTTTGGGGGTCTCCTGACTCCCCATTCCCTCACTAGCCAGTTTGGATGAATGAAAAGAGTATATTGAATGGTGGCTGGCACACAATAAGACCTTAATAAATATTACCCTAAAAATTATATCACACAATTTGCATACCTTTTAGCACTATACAGGTTTGATATAAAATGCAGTTTTGTTTATTAACTGTTCAGGATGCTAAATAATAAATGTGTTGAGAAGAGAGAGAGAGCATGTCTTCAATTTATTTTGAATTGCACAGCACCTAGCCAAATAAGCACCCAATAAATACTTCTTGATCGGTAGCTAAATTCTCTATTGGCATAAAGCTATTTCAATCCTGTTCTGAGCAGTAAGGTATTCCTCTCAGTTAAAAGCAAAACTCCATTTACATTGTGAAACTGACTAAAGGAAACTGTATTTAAGATGGAGTCAGGAGGCCAGAAGGGCCAGCTCTTATGCCCTACCACTCCTAATGGACTACACACCCAACTGCAAGAGAGGCACCTTGCATTCCCAACAGGAAGAGCCTATACTTTGCTACCCCAGCAAGAGGAAGATTTTCTCTTTGCTGCAACAGCCCCGCCAATGAGAAGCAGTCACAACTCACTAAAGAAAAGCCACTACAGTTGAAGCTCCCAGTTTACTCCAATGGACTTTTTGATCATAGCAGTCCTTCCCAATTCCGCCTCCCACCTTTGCTCTATAAAAAAACAGCCCTCTCTCCTGTGTATGGTTTTGCCATAGCTAACCTGTCCCAAATTATAATTATCTGCTATTCCCGAAAGAATCCATTTCTGCTGATAAAATAGCTGACAGTTTTGGGGCACCTGGATGACTCAGTCAGTTAAGCGTCCAACTTGGGCTCAGGTCATGATCTCACACTCCGTTGAGTTCGAGCCCCACCTCAGGCTCTGTGCTGACAGCTTAGAGCCTGGAGCCCACTTCAGATTCTGTGTCTCCCTCTCTCTCTGTCCCTCCCCCCACTGCTTGCACTCTGTCTGTCTCTCTCTCAAAAATTAACTTATAAAAAATAACTGACAGTTTTATTTTTAAGGTTAACCGAACGTGTTAATCAGTAATGCGTCATCTCATCAAAAAAGCAATTTAACTCTAGGGGAGCTGCTTACTTATAAGCCAATGGCTGAAATACTGGAAACACTGTGTGCTGCATTTTATATAGGAATTTATTTTTTCTACAGATGAATAAGGCTCGATTGTCAATTAGAAGCATTCAAACAGCAACTCTTAACCTATACTGCAAACAACAGTAGATTCCACAACACTGAATTTGAGGTTCAGAGTCCTTGGTCAGTAATCCAGTATTTAGTACTAGCTTCTTGTTTTGAGGTTGTTGGTTAGTTAAGTGATGATTCCAATTTTGGAGATAAAGTTTCAGTGTGAACTTTAGTAAGAACAACCATAAAAATACCTGAGGTGTAATGTTACTAGAAAATAAGATTTTCCCTTATATTTAAAAAAGCTTTGCAGATTTTTATTTGAAGCCTATTGTTTGAAAACCCAGTCTCAGCAATAATATCTCATAATCTTCATATCCCAGTATTTCCCCTCTTTCAATGAATAATATTTTCCCATTTAAGTCTTTCAAGGCATTTAGGAAATTAAGAATTTCCCAAGCTTGTCCTCTTACTAGCTTCAGAGACATTAAAGAATTAAACTTTTAATATCAGCTACTCATTCATTGTATCCTTTCTCACTGAGCCCATCAGTGGGTCAAAAGTTCTCAGAAGTACTAAAGATAATTAAGAAAAATGCATTTTTAGGGTTCAAAACAAGGTTACATGGAAGCAAGAACAAGGAAGAATTTCAAAAGTCTTCCTCAGCATTTAGTGTACGTGATTTCTTGAGAGTCTTCAATTTATCAATGGCAGAAGTTACAGAAATCTCTCCATGAATTTTGTTGTCTCTTGTTCGAACATTTACAGCATTATTCGTCTTTTCCTTTTCTCCAACCACTGTGGAAAAGAAAGGGAAATAAACCTATTTTAAATAAATGATATAATAAATATTAAGTCAACAGTCACATGACACATCTTATTGAGTTCTTCTTCAGTATTAATCACTAATTACCAGTCTAATGACCATGAGGTCATCGTCTGATAGTAAACCCTTCAAAGAGGAATGACTTCTAACCCCTTCTCCTTATTGTCCACTTGCAAGAACATATATTGTGGTCTTAGGGTACAAATCAGAACAGGGAGATCTTACAGACCCCCTGACTCCATATGGCATCTGGGGAGGCACCAGACCCATGCCCAACCAGACAACCAGAATTTTCAGAAATGTAGGTAAAAAGAGTTTCTCTCTAGTGCCCCTTAGCGGGATGATGCCAGAATCTGCTGGCATGTTTCTTGTCATGTAGAAGGAAGAAACAGGTCACCAGTTAAGGGGAATAAAGTAGATATTCAAGAAAAACATAAAGAACCAGAGCAAAGTAGGGGCCAGAAATGAAGAGATTTAGTTGACCAGCTTGCTCCAATTACTCTTCTAATGGTTTGGCTATTTAATTCTACCTTCCATGTCATGAGATACTTCATTACACTTCCAAATAAATTCTGTCTTTGTCTAAGTCATTGTGAGAGTTCTGTCACCAGAAGGAGCCTGACTGAAACATCACAATACCTACTACACAAATACTTTCAATGACAAATGGCTGATAGGACAACACTATGTGTATTTACTTTACCTTCTACAGAATCTTTCAACTTAACTGGAGATAACAGTATCATGCCTGGAGGAATATGATATCAGTTTCTCTTGATTTCTGACTCATTTTAAAGTCAAAATTTTAGATGCTCATCCAAGTACTCATATGCCTTCAGGACACTTTTTCACTTCAATTCTTTTCTTTTGATCATCTTAAATTTGGACTCTCTCCCACTCATTAGTAATCCCAAAGATTTGTAATAAGTCAGAAAAGCAAAGGAGAATATTTGAGGCCTGTCACATGGCTGACACACAAAGAGCGTAATTTTACTGATGCAATCATTTTCACATTTTTTTGTTGTTGTTGGTTTGCGATATTAGCTACTGCTAGTAATACTAACAACTAACCAAGAACACCATGGACTGTTCTTGGTGCATACGTAACAATCAAACTGTCTTAATCACATAGTTATACCATACTCATGTAGTTATACTATATTCACATAGTTATACCATTTTGTTTTTTAGAATTAGAGTGAAAAAACAAGCATTTGATAAAATTTAAACTTAAGTTACCCAAAATGAAATTATACTGAGCCAGCTGCGCATTTCGTATTTTCTTATTTAGTGTACAACTATGATCTAAGTCAACGTCGGTCATGAATCCTTCTTCAAAAAATGCATTGGATACCTACAAGAAAATGAAACACTTTCATTATTACAATATTTGTGGTAGCCAGCCTCCGAGAGGACCCACGGGATCCTCGCCTTTTGCATTCACACCTTGCGTCACCTCCTCCACCTTGTACCAGGTTGCTCGATGTGACCACAGAGAAGGGCAGAAGTGAGGGTGTGTCACTTTGGAGGTTAAAAGACTTCAGCTCCCACATCTTTAACATCACTCCCTCTGGGGAAACCAGCTGCCATGTTGGGAGGAAATTCAGGAAACCTTTGGAAAAGCCCATGTGGTGAGGAACTGAAGCCTCCAACAATGATGTGATTGAGCCACAAGGCTGCAGCCCTGGCTGGCTGACAGCACCACTGGCATCCTTGTGAGGGGCACTGAGCCAGAATCGCCCAGTGAAGCTGCTCCCAGGTTCTGACTCTCAGAAACTATGAGATAATAAATGTTGTCTCAGGCTGCTAAGGTTTGGAGTTAACTGTTATGTGGCAATAGATAACATAAGTATCTTCCTTAACAGAGCCATGTGGAAAAGAATAATTTAAGTATGAGAGATGTATTAAAATCCCAATTTCTTGGGGTGCCTGGGTGGCTTGGTTGAGCCTCTGACTCTTGATTTCAGCTCAGATCATGATCTCATGGTCATGAGATTGAGCCCCGAGTCAGGATCTATGCTGGGCATGTAGCCGGTTTAAGATTCTCTCTTCCTCTGCCCCTCCCCCCACCCCACGTGCTCACCCTCTGTCTC